CCTGCAGATCAATGAAACTTTCGTATATTTCTTGAGTGAAATGAATGCCTCGAAGAATAGCTGCCACAGCATAGGGACGCACTTGCATTGTCTGAAACGGTTCCGCGTATTCACTCAATGTTTATTTAACTACAATATGTATGCATTAATAATACATACATTTGGAAGGACTATAAGCTGTTGTAACTTTCCCTTCGGGGGCTCAACGGACCGATATTCGGGTATTTCAGCCCTCATTTAATAAGAAATTACTAATTGTTAACTCATAATCATATAATGGATTCGTTTATATGAGACATACTTTCCGAGGAATATAAGAAGCGCCCGAACCAGACCTTCAATACACAGCAAATCATAACTAAGAGGAAAATATAAAAATGATTAAATAATGTTTGTGGCAATAAATCACTACAAGTCTACCGATTGGCTGGTATTTCAATCCGATATAACACGTCCTCTGAGGCGCCTTTCGAGCGGTCCATTCCCTGCTCTTTGGTCTTCATTTGCTTCTCTGATGTCTGACATAAAGACAAATGTAATGCTTGATTGTTATGGTAAATGTGGGATCACTTACCACTTCATCCAACTCTATGCCAAACTCGAAGCACAAGTTATCAAATTCTTCCTCAGCTATAATTCAATCATTTAAAACATACGTTAATTCATTCAATAAGACTATGGTTTGTGTCGACACTCACTGAACTGTGTGTCCAATAGTTTGAACAGTTGGTCCCGATTGACGTTAATTGTGGGCATTGTGTTAATCGATCACTAAATTGGTCTCTAATTAAATAGTTTACGCAAAGACAACAACAATTGCATCACTCGTCCAATCAATGCCTCGCAAAACGTGTCCAAACAATCGACACTACATTTGTGTACGTCTTCTATGAATGGACCCACGATTTGGACACCAATTGATTGGAGAAATTGAATGTTTTTTCAAATCAATTGATATTTGAATTTGAAATACAATTGAATTAAAAACAGTAAATATTGAGTGATTTAATTGAAGATGAGTTCACAGACCGACAGATCTGAAGACCAAATGGGGAGACAATGGGATAAATTTATCTCCAATTCAGTGCTCAAAATGGGTTAGTATTTGACATGAAGTGAAGTGATGTGATAATTGATGAGTAAATGAATGATAATAATGTGTTATCTGATCCATAGGTACGGGTCTCGCAGTCGGAAGTGTCTTCTCTTTGCTGATCTTTCGCCGAAGACTTTGGCCGATAATATTTGGTTCAGGGATTGGATTGGGTTTTGCGTCCAATCAATTGCAGT